TACGGTACTACCTTAGCGTCCGTCACGAGTCCTTGATCGCCATGTCTGATGAGCACAAAGTCTATTTGTGCCTTGATACTCCCGCTGTAGAACGTGATGAGATGGGAGTCACGCTTACGAAACTTCATGTTCAGAATGACGAGATTATGCGACTCTGCAAACTTGAGGGTTCGCTCACCATCGGCGTTCCGTGAACCGTAGCCGAATCCGCCATGACAAACATAGCCGTCTTTTGCAGCGCCCACGTGTCCGTTCAAATCGCCGGCTACAATGATACCGTGTTGTGGTGGCACTTCAGCCGACTTCTCGTCCAGCAGAGCCCAGAACTCGTCTTTGGACTGCTCAGAGCATCCAGTTTGTGGGGCATATGCAGAGAAGAAGCGGTACAGTCGTTGTTCGATAGCGACAACAATCTTCATTAAGCGGTCGTCGAAACGAACTACGCTCACAATCGAATCGTGGAATCGCTGAGACATGCACGGCTACACCACTTGTAGTTTTCGGCCCGCCACAAAGAACGGCTTTGAAGCCGTGGCCTAAATCTTTCGACTTGCAACCAGCCCATCTCGTCTCTTGCACGGCACAGAGGTCGATCTTTCTACGCTCTAGGGCTTCTGCTAACTCATACGAGCGTCCAGTCAACGTGCCAACGTTCAGCGTCGCAATGCGGGTCTTTAACACATTGCAGGTCTTTCGGACTAGCCTGGTTGCCCCCCGATGCCGTCCTTGCAACGAGGACCCTCGCATATTTTTCACACTCGTCGGGCCTTGCGAGTGCGCGTCGGCTCCCGCGGACGCCGTAGCATTATCTCGATATTCGTAAGGCATAGTTAAACATAATGATGTGACATGGGGTGTTCGTAAGCCGGCCCTTCACGAAGGCCTGTCGCCTGCTTTCGAGTTCGTCCGCGTTCTGCTCAGCCCGCAAAAGCGAGCAGGTCCCGGTGGCACCACTTGGAGGAACGGACGTCACCACCAAGGGGTTGAGTAACTCAAAATGAAAAATAACTAAAATAAATAATAAGTAACTCAAAATGTCACGACATTGAGGAGGAACCAGAGATATTCTTCGAGGTAGGGCCAGCCGCGTTCTGGAGGAAAGACATCTATGATTCACCTGCGCGCTGGCGGAAGGCCATAGGCTGCAACGGGACAATATGAAATAACTTATCTTTAGTGTCAATGTCGCGATATGATAAAAAATCTCTCAACACCCCATTAACTTTTTTAGACCTATCTGTACTTTCACCTTATGCTTGAGTAAAACTCTAGAAACGACCCACTGCGTATCACTTAGCGTGGATAACAAGACTGGGAGAGGTGTCAAACCAAACTTCTACAGCTGTTCCCCACAGTGACGTTGATCATCAATAGTTCTTAGAGATACAACTTCCCTCATACCAACAGATATAAAGCTGTTTTTCTAAAGTGAAGAGAGATGTGAACCTTTGGCAAACAAGCCCTACACCAGAGTGCTCGAAAATTCTAAGCAGACTATAAAAAATATTTGATGCGCACTCTTATTGCAGCTGTTCAAACAGTGGAAAAACAGATTTTCAAGCATAAACTAGCTCGGCATTCTACAGCCATGTGCTATTTCAATTTCAGGCATCTTGATCTGTTCTGGGGTACAACAAACAATGGAATAAAAATGTCTCTGTGAATGCAATGATAGCTGAACCGAGCTCTCTTATATTTCAGCTTTTAGCCAAGAACATTTCACCGATGTTCTCGCAGCGGTCTCATTCATAGCCTAACCTTAAAAACTTTCTCATGAAAACAATGGTTACTTCGGTTTTAGTCTTCCAACATCATCCTCAAACATGCTCTGCACGGTTACCAGCAGAGTAGATTGCTCTAGTGTGAGCGATCTACAGGTCCGCAGCTGTAGAAGAGGTTCATTCTCGTCGCTTGATAGTGCACAGGAGTAATGCTGAAAGTGTGGGATAGCTGGATGGCCCTTAGCCTCTACTTGAAATGCACAATGCGCAGCATGTGCATCAATGCTGAGAACCCGCAGCGGAAAACGTGACCGGCAAGCTGCCTATCGCGGCTACCTACAGAGGACAACCAAACACGAAGGAGTGAAGACAAATGGTACATTCGCTCCCGGTTAGGTGTGTATTTAGTGATGGGACATATTGCGTGTCGGCGTGCTTTGTCGGAGAGTGGAGAAAAAAGGTATCTAGCTCACGTTACCCTTATTCTAGCGCTCTTTAGGGTAAGGGAAGTAGTATTAGGTCGTTGCAAAAGAAATGCAGGATTTTGCTTGCTATTTCATACTTATTTTATTCCAATAATATGTTACTTTAATATAGTTATATACTATTCGAAAGCTTCAAAGCATGTGCCCAAGTTTGGTCAATACCTATTCTTCTCCACGACAATGCCAGACCACACGTGTGCTCGAACACAATGCTCGACCCTCCAAAAATTGAACGAATTGGGCTATGATACTCTGCCTCGTCCACCATACTCACCAAACCTGTCGCCCACCGATTACCACTTTTTCAAGCATCTGGACAACTATCTTAAAGAGAAATGCTTCAAAAACCAAGACGATGTCAAAAACGCCTTCAACGATTTCGTGGCCTCTAAAAAGAATTACAACCAATCTTAAAGTATCGTTTACAAAGAGCATTAGATAAGCTTTCGAATGATATATAACACTTACATTTTACTGGAATAAAATAAGTATTAAATACAAAAAAACAAAATCCTGCATTTCTTTTGCAACGACCTAATACATTTGCATAACTGTTACCTCGCACATGGAGTGCAGCATTATAGCGGTTAAGAGTGCAGAGCACTTTAGGCACTCTTAGTGTTCGATTGATGTTCAGACGCATGCCTTATACATGGTGGTTGTCCGCAAGCTTGAGAGACAAACAAATTTGCAGCTTGAATTGCGTGAGGAAAGCATACCCGCTCTCAACTCAAGACATCAGCCCACTGCCTAGCGCAACTTTCTACTTTACTTCTGTATACTGTCTATGGTGCGGCTTTTTGTTTACTAGCTCTCTCCATTGCTGCTTGATTGGTGAGTGTTAAAAGAAACGGCCAATAACGACTAGTGAGAACTAATCCAAGAACGCCCCTTCTTCATCTGATACGCGCACAAGCTCGGTCTGGCATGGATTTCTATAAGCCACTTCAAATGATTTGCTTCTAGTTTTTTCTCCGCTGTTTGCTGCTCATCTACTATCCTCAGTGTCTGAGCGCAAAGCTCATCATTTCGAGGCGTGACTTGAAAGAAAACCCCTCCTAGTGACAAGGAGGAACTTCGGTGGACTTCATCCTACGCAGAAATAGGAGGTGCGACCTAAAACTAGGTCACCTGCCATTTATGCTGCAACTACTTCTTAAAAAGTAGGTGTAGACCTTGTCCCACATAGTCCTGCAAGTATGAGCGTTTTTAGTTGCAGCAAGCCTTCAACAGTGCGCGCTTGAAAGCAGTTGGCACAATAAATCCCCCAAGACGACGAGAAATTTACAAGCAACTGCCTGCTGGTACATGTTGAGTTGCGATTCACGACAGTAACAGATCACTAACTTGCTTATCCTCGTGAGCAACATTTACAGCCAGCCATTGCTTTTAGTTTCTCTACCTTTACATCCTCGCGTATCTCTTCTTGCTATGCACAACACCCCCCACGCCGTGTTTTTTTCATAAATTATTGTTTTCAAACACGATACACATGCAAGAGATGTTGTACAGGGATTCTTACTTTTTCCGCCAGATGAAAGTACCTCCGCGTTTCTTCAGCCGTCCTATTCTGAAGCACAGACATGTTGGGACGGATATAAAGATCCGGGGCGCCGCAGAGCATATTGTCCGTCACCAAATTAGTCATATACATTTGAATCCTTTTTCTTCTATGAGCTTCTCTGTAGGTGTTCAGCGTTCAACAGATGTTTAGAAATTGCTCCATACATTAGGTATGGCATAGTTCCATGCCATAACGGTTGCCTTTCATGTTTGTATAGAAACTGCTTTATGTTAAGACTATGGAGCGCATTTTATTTTAGTTGCACCACATTGATTGAGGTGTAGGTCGGCAAAAACAGTCATAAAAAAGAAAGAGGTTGTAGATCGACCAAGTAGCGCAAATGTTTCTCTTCATCTAAATGCAGTCGATTCTCCAAGCTTTCGCAATGGCAGTATTGCAACGAGTTGTAGCTAACACTGAAGAATAGATTCAAAATTCAGAAATGAGGCTGATATTGCTCACCTTATTCTTGATGGCTGTCGATGGCAGGCATGTAGACAAAGTAAAAGGGATGTTCTCTGGCGATGGTAGTTTTGGACAAACTGAAGAATGCCACTATTGTGGATCAAAGAAGGTTCCCATTTCTCTTCTACTGTTAATGCTCCTTACCCTATTCCATCTCGGAATATTCTCTTTTCGTTTCGATTTTGAGAAAGTGTGACTTTGTTCTCGATACAATTGCAGCTCTTCGAAAATACGGCTCTATTCAAAATTTCGCGACAAGATTAGAAGTAGAAGGACAAAGTGTTGAAGACATTGGAGTTGACACCTCAAATGATGAAATCGCTCCCAAGAAGGTTGAAGGTAACGCTGATAGTTCATTTCTCTTCTACGACGAAATTCATGAGACTCAGAATGTTTCTCTATACCTCCCACTTGGTTGTGATGTATTTAGCAGACGACAACCATCTACTATGCTTTGTTACGCCACTGTGTACGTATCGAATTTTACAGAGACTTCGAGCCCATCAGGAAGATAAAGTCGCAGAGAAAGGGACTCAATCACTGACTTAACGAATACAGCCAGGTTGGCCAAAGATCTCTACCAGAGCGACATGGTGCTAACAGAGTATGTCACTCAATCAATACGTATTCGTATTCGTTGATTTCCCTTCCAAAGCCGTTGAAGGGAGCAAGCCGAGGAGATCGTGCAGATATAGAAGATGAGGTTGCTGGTGGAAATCGAAAATCAAAACGCCAAGCATTCAAGCGACCATAAGATATCCAAATATGTTATGGTCAGAAGGAATGAATTACTACTTCCATAAGCTAGCTAGTATGTGAAAAAATGTAGTACTTCGTGGATAGAGCGCAAAATAAATATGATACAACCATTGAAGGCTAGAGAGCATGAGAAGTTCATTCGAGAAGCGAGCGAACTATGGAACAGGATACATTGCATCAATTTCACGCGCGGAACCCATTCGGTGAGAAAACACTTTAAAATTAATCGAGAGGTGATTTCTCAATGTTGTGGATTCAGGATACGCGGCCTTTTGACGAGTCACAAGCCCCATAAAAAGTTACTGTTCAGCCAAAGATCGAATCATGGTATTCCCGGAGGACGATGTTGGTCATACGTTGGAAAACTCGGTGGGTGAGCAAAACTGTCACTAGGGAAGTGGCTGCAAACAGTATCTATCGCTGCGCACTGAGATTGGTCATGCTCTTGGATTTTTCCATACAATGTCCGACACCGATCGTGACGACTTCATCACTGTAAACAAGCACAATATCAAGGTAACGATTGACAGTGCCGTTCAAGAATTGCCAACTGAAAGTTCAACAGTCGCTCCAATTTCCGTATTACGGACGACACACCTCTCCTCGCTAGTCCATTAATATGGAGTGATCAACATTATCCTTATTCCACCTGCAAGGCGCACAAGGTGCTATGTTATTTTAGAAGCCAGTGCAAAAACATATACTGGTCCCTTCACGCTCTACAAACATTCAAAATGCATCAAATCCGCACACAACATTGTCACGAAGTACGCTACGAATTTACGGACTTACCTGTCATTACTCGCTCCCACAGTGTCGCAAAAGCCTTGACAGAATTTTCGAAAGGCTCGAGCTATATCTTCTTGAGCACCATAGACAAAATCTTCTTCCTGAACGGAAGCAGTTGAGGATCTTATAAAATAACGTATTGTAGTGCAATGTGGATCTTAAGCAGATTTCGACAACACTGTAAGCGTCACTTTTTCGGAAATTCGTAAACATCTTTGAGAACATGGTTCATCGTAGCAAAAAGATGTTTGACGGTTCAGCTATCAGACTACAAACGCAGGCAAACTGCCAATTAAACAAATTAGTCTTTAAAAGTGCAGGGAGACTTGCGTGCATTACAAAAATATGTATCATTTGTCGGTCCTCTAGTTGAGCGAAGTAAAAGAAACTATACGAAATAGAGACGCAGAGGTCATACTTTCAGGTAGACTGGCTAAGTCAATTCATAAAGAAACAACGAAAACAAACGATAATTACAACATACGTTACGACTACGGCAGCATTATGCACTACGGCGGAACTAGGTATGTTTTTAAACAAGAATCTAACCAATTTTCCACTCCATGATCATGACACTGCACTGACCTAATCGCCTGTAACACAATTTGCGACATTCACTGAGTGATATAAAATGTTGGACAATAGCTGGTTGTTGACCCTACTGTTATTTAGTGCATCGTTCAACAAAAAACCAACAATGGTTCCGTTTGACATCGATTATCAGCAGACCCTTGGATCTTCATTCATTTCTTTCATCGAACTCTCCAATGCTCAATGAGGCACTACGGTTGCAAAGGTTGATGGTCATCACTTAGAATATCTCTCTGAAGATATACGTCTACTCACTTTGAAAAATACTGATCCTTGCCAAGTAAAGCCAGCTAGACTGTTGGCGCAGCTGAGAGAAGAGCCATTTTGCCACTCGAAAGTAGCCGAATTCCTAGAACCAGGCATGCACCTAATTATAGCTTCTTGTAGCCGTCGTCGGCTAATGTCGTGGAATCCCTAGCTTGTGATCATTTCACTATTTGTTACCCTCACAATCCACTTCAGTACCAACTTTCATGCTTCCGGTGGTGGGAGACTCTAATACATGGGAGCTGAATGCGGGTTTCATCAACAAATATATGCTATAGTAATTGGTGCCGCCCGCTCACTTTCCCATCTTCTCATCAACTACGAAACGATTAAGGATCAACAGAAGAAAGCGTCTGCTAACTATGAACACTTTCACTGTTTTTCATCACACTTTTTGTTACAAAATTTCAGCATCTGTAACAAATCTACATCGTGTAAATGCGAGAATTGGGCGGATTCCCTCATCCACGAGACTGCAAAGATGCATATGTCCTGGTGGCTATGTGGACCTCGATGCAATAAGAAAGTGAGTATCGTATCGTATCAGATATAACCGTCATCTAGAAGTTGGTGCCGGAAAGTGTTTGCTTTACCAGTAACAAAGTGCAGCCATAAAAATTATGCTTCCCCTACTGGACGAGGCTCGAGGATACTATTGCCTTGGCCGTGGTGACCAGAAGATTTCGAGATATTGTCACTACCGGATTAAGGTAAGTCTTTAAATCCCAAGAAATAACAGGCCAATATCATAACTGGTGCTAACGGCTGACTGGCTCACCATGTTAAACTGTTCAGTGCTGAAAGGATACGGCTGAAAACCGTAAGCAGAGAGTAAAGCGGCCTCGATGTCGTAAGAGTTAGCACACTGGCTCGGAAAGCGTTGAATGCTGGTTCGACTTTTGGCAATAGTCAGCATTCTTGCAGTAGCAGGTCAATATTTTATCGACATATTCACGTAAATTTTACAATGGAACTCAGTGGGGAAGCAGCCCTTAATGACGTCTCTTGAAGTGTCGGAGTAGTTACGTATCACTAATTATAATGCCTTGTATTTGCAGTTCCCAAGGGAACCAAATCGAAGTAAAATTAGTGAACTTCACGAAAGGTCGTTATCTATTTGACGGATGCCCTTATGCAGGTGTAGAGATCAAACAAAAAGGACCAAAAGCCTCACTGGTTACAGTATACTGATTTGAATAAATTAGAAGTGCCGCAAAGTATATTGAAGGAATCATGCATCGAAATGACAACTGACAGTTTTCTCTCAGAATACTGGTCAAATTGAGCCGCAACAAAACCCATTCAAAAACCCTTAAAGAAGAAGTGAATTGAAGATTCTGCTCACCTGACGCGGCTGAACAGTTCTACGTTCTTACACAAACCGTGTCCCAAATAATGACGTTATAACAGGATTGTCAAACGACGACAGTGCTTGAATATCGACACGGTACTGCTTTATTATTTCTTGTCTTGAAATCGCTAAGATCAACCTAAAGCATCTAGTTCCTGCGAATTCACCAAGAGCTTACGACTTACTACCTCTACTACCACCACCACTACGACAACGAACAAACGGACCTGTTGTTCCATTCATAAATACAGGAACTGGCTCTAAATGCGAGGAACAATCACTCGTAAGATCCTCTTCATATTACCCCGTCAAAAGAACTATTCAGAGGTTTTTCAGCTGCTCCACGCTCTCTTGTACCAAGTGGTTTCTGCAAAGGTCCACTATCGGAGGCTACCAAGAAGAAAGTGTGTCCGAAGTCTTTGTGGCTTCTTGATACTTTGCAATAACTCCACTCCGCCATCAACTTCAATAAAGTCTGTTGCATCGCACTTGTATATAACATCACACTGCAGTGTGTATATTCGCGATCTCATAGCTCAAGGGACGAGATTCAGAGATCTTTGAGGCTGTTGGCACGATGCCTTCCTAACTTGGCCTAAAATGCTAGTAGAGCGCTATATAGTGGGGGCAAATGACGAAAGAACGGAGCCGGAAACACTCAAAAGAGTGAATTTGAGATCTATTTGGAGGTTTCCCTCAGCATCTTGCCAATCACTGCTACCGAAAATACGGCTGCATATGTGTACCCATATATGGAGCACCATCACACCCCTCCCTTCGCTTCATGATTAGCTCACGATGTGAATGAAGCAAATACTAGGTCAGAACGGTCGTCGTCCAATTGTGGCGGAGCGGGTGCGGCCGTATGTGGTCGGAATTTGTCGTTTGATAGGCCCTCATAAAGCACCTTCCTCGAGGATAACGCTATGCAGTGCCTCCCAGTTTGCGAATTCTCCTACCAGGAGTATGGATCCTGTTCGTCTTGGCGGTATTTATTGT